GAGAGAAAAAAGAGATTTGTATCTTAATATCGATTCCTTACTAATCTTGCCTTGCTACGGGGAAGAGAGGGCGGGAGTGAAGAGTGTAGGTGGGCTGAAATCTCTCCTTTTATAATTCATGTATGCACTTCAGTCACCTCCTTGTAACAGTATTATGCCCAAGGGAGAAGATTCTTAAACATAGTTGGGAGGTGAAGAAGGATGGAGAGAAGGAAAAAAAAAGACAGCGGAAGAAAGAGAAGGCAAGGAGGAGAAAGGATAAGAGGGATTTGTACATTGCACTTCTCTACATCTAGTCTTTTACAGCTAAAAAATACGTGTCGGAATGGTTCTACTTGTGCCGTTACTGTTGCTTTCGCGGATCTTCACACCCATGCCACTGCACTGGAAATGTTCGTATATCCTTCACATAATCTTTGCTGCATTTGAGCGTTGCGTTCCAGCCCGCCGTTCGAAGCCAACCGACAGCGGGACGGACCCTCAGCCTGGTTCTTGGGGTCAGCAGGCTTCCGGTGAGGTCAGCCAAGGCCAGCCGTGGTCAGCCGTCGTCCCTCACGCCATCACCCGGTCTTAGGCTGTGGACCAAGGACGTCACCCGCTCAGTGAGGCTCTCCCAAGGGCGGGGACAAGGCCATGCAATGCACATGCAAACTACGGCGTGAAGGGATGGCAGCGAAGGCGGCACGGCACTCTGCACGAGGTGCTGTCACTCCTGACTTCATCAGTGCCCTGTGCAAGCAGTCTAACATGCACATGGCTACCAAAATCGAAGTGTGAGTCTTTGCAGCACTACGCTATATCTTATCTCATTGTTTATATCCACGTTTTTGCTCTTACAGATTATGTGCTTCTTCATATGAACAAAAACACAGTAGCTCATCTATGCTTCCTCTCCCTCTTCTCTCTCTATCTCTCTTGCACACACACACACACACACACACACACACACACTTAGCCTGTTACACAAGATCTCTCAAGATCAGCTTCTGCACTTTGGGTCCCTCGTGATCTACGTACTGAAGGAACGTATAGGGAACGCCCCCAATCACAGCCATGCTCTTCCTCAGACCTGAAGGGTCTTTGAGGATCAGCTGATTGGTCCTCCGATCCCACACGGCGTCAGTCTCGTTAATTTTACCTTGGATCACGCCCGGGGAGCCTCGGCCGCCCGTATACATGCGCCCCGCCCGCTGGGAGCTGGGGGCGTTGGCGTAGTCGGGGTAGCGGACCTCGAAGGGCGTCCGCGGGCGTCTGGGGGGAAAGGGGGGGAGATTGGCGCCGTCGCTCCAGCCCACGACGGGCGTTTGCTGGGCGTTGGGCGGGGTGTGGGTGATGGCGGGGATCGGCCGGAACTGCGAGGTCACGTTCGACGAGAAGTTCTTTCCGTTCGGCAGGTTCTTCCTCCTCGACCGTCTGGGGAGAAAGGGAGAGAGAAAAGAGTGAGATATTTAAAGGAAGAAGAAGAGAGAAGAAAAAAGAAACGAGAAAGGGTATTAAGGCGAAATGACAGAGAGGGAAATGTCTCATACTATTTTACTAACGGTAGAACGGAAGAGTAAGGAAAGAAAAAGAAAATGCAATAAAGCAGAGCAGTCCCCCCCCCCCCCAAAAAAAAAAAAGAAATCAACCCATCTAGCAAGAACACAACGACCCAACGACCAAACAACCCCATCACCCTCGCAAACGACCTAAGACGAGCAAACGACCGAGACGACCATTCCCTCTCGCCCTTACCGACACATGATCTCACACACGAAGGCCACGATCGCCGCCAGCGTGCCCACAAGCCCGACGACGTAGGTGGTGAAGAGGTCGTTGTTCCTGAGGGAGCGGTCGTCGGCGCCGTTGTCCTGCGTGCAGACGGGCGTGCTGGCTGTGGCGTTGTCGTGGAGGAAGTTGAGGATCCCGAAGTAGGAGAGGCGGCGGAAGCTTCGGTGGAGGGAGAGGAAGAAGGAGGAATTACCGTGGCAGAAGGGGTAGTTATGATAATGATATGTATATTATATATATGTATATGATATATAATGTATGTATATCATAATATGAATGATATGATGTGTATTATACGAGTATTAGTGATAAGGCATAATGATAATGGTGGTAAGGATAATGACACTCAGGGCCGGTTTAAGCCGATTTGACCGATTTCATCAAAGTGGGCCCCGCACCTGAAGGACCCGCACCAGCAGGGCTCTGTTTTCATATGAGCTTCAAAATACTACTGAAAACGTGATATGAAGAATAAGATATTCTTCCTCATAATATTAATTTATTATGAATGATGAATTAACATTAACTTATCGTTTTGTCACTTCTATCAACAACTGAAATATTATTTCTATCATTATGAACTAAAAGGTAGAATTCGTGTGTTTAAATTACTTTACGATCAAAAAACGTGTTCTTTTATTTTGAATATCCGATAGAAAACAATAGATTTACAGCATTTCTTAATGTTTTCATTACTTTTAGGATTTATTTAACAATGCCAATAACAGTGGCATCAGGGGAAAGAAGTTTTTCAGAGCTGAAACTAATTAAACCTTACTTGAGGTCTACGGTCTCACAAAAGAGACAATTTGGCAATGCTCTCTATAGAAAACGAGATTGCTAAAATCATTGACTTTGAAAAAAACTTTGCAAGATTTTGCAAATAAAAAACTAGAAGTCTGCAATTGCCTTTCTTCATATCAAAAGTAAAACAATAAAACTTTTCATATTGCCTTTCAAAAAATCATTATACCAAGCATTTAATGTTTATTAGTATTTTTGGTTCGATTGTATGTGAAATATAAACATCTATAAATTTTACTATGAAGAACAGAGGCCCCGCTATCGGTTTTCTAATTGGGCCCCGCACTCCTAGCACCGGCCCTGATGACAATGGTGGTAATGGTGCAAATTGCTGAATAAATAGTAATGAAAGTGATTATCTTAGACAAAAAAACAAAAAGCAACAACAACAAATAATAATAATAATAATAGTGTAGATAATGATGATTATGATGGTGGTGATCATGATGATATTGAAGATAATAGTGATAATATTAAGAAAAATATGATAGCAGCAACAACAAAAATATAATAGTAATATCAATAAAGATAATGATGCTAATTATAACAATCATAAAAATGATATCAATAATAATCACAATGATGATAATAACAGTAATGATAACAATAACCAAAACATAAATAAATGAAAATGATAATAAAAGTAATGATAATCATAATGAAGATCATAATGAAGATTATAATAATGATAATGATTAATACAGTGACAATGATGGTAATGCTACTGCTAATAATAATAATTGTATGACACCAACAAAATTTATACTACTACTACTTGCAATGACAATAATAACGATAGTAATGATAATGATAATGATTAGAAATTTAATAATAATAATGATGATAATGATAATGGTATGATAATAATCATTATCATACTGATAATAACAATGAGGATGGTAATGACGATAATGATATTGATAATGACAACAGACTGATAACAGTGATGATAATGATAATCCCAAAAATGGCATTAATGATAACACACGACGATAATAGCAAAAACGGTAATGATAACAGAAGTAATACTGATCACAATGATAATGATGATAGTGATGGTGGTGCTGCTACTGCTACTACTAATCGAAATATCAATAATGATAATGACAGGGGATCCAATTAAGAAAAAAAACATGTGATAAGATTACAATTACAGCAACAACGATTCTCTTAAAACGAAAATAACCGAATATATTTGAGAGAGAAAGTGCGGTTGCGAATTTAAAACAAAACGAGGAAAACGAAGATGAATAAAGAAAACGGAAAAGCGAGAATAAAGAATGCGAACCGTCACTCTCTCTCTCTCTCTCTCTCTCTCTCTCTCTCTCTCTCCTCCCTCCCTCTCGACGGTCGTAAAATGTAATGTTATGCCATAATATATTACCTTCGCCTGTGATATATTTCACTTGCCGGAAGTAAAAAATAGATGAGAAAGAAAAGAAAAAAAAGTGAAAAGGTACAATTTATATATTTGTGACTTATTGCTGTATTTACCGATATTGATGTCGTTTGTGTGCATAAATATATTTTTAATAAGGGTTTAAGAAGTTCCTGAGATTTTGGAAAAAAAAATGCAAAAGAAGGGAGAAAGGAAGGGAAAGGGAGGGAAGGAGGTAAGGACATGAAAGGGGGATAAGTAAGGTGAGAGGCAAAGACAGAGACAGACAGACAGAAAGGCAGGCAGACAATATCAAGACAGAAACCACGAAGAAAGAAGAAAGAGAGAGAGAAAAAGAGATAGATAGATAGACAGATAGATAGAAAGATAGAGAGACGGAGACACACATACAGAGAGAGAGAGAGAGAGAGAGAGAAAAAGAGATAGATAGATAGACAGATAGATAGAAAGATAGATAGAGAGGGAGAGAAACAAAGAGACGGAGACACGTACAGAGAGAGAGAGAGAGAGAGAGAGGGAGAGAGAGAGAGAGAGAGAGAGAGAGGGGAGAGAGAGAGAGAGAGAGAGAGAGAGGGAGAGAGAGAGAGAGAGAGAGAGAGAGAAAAAGAGATAGATAGATAGACAGATAGATAGAAAGATAGATAGATAGAGAGGGAGAGAAACAGAAAGAGAGACGGAGACACACATACAGAGAGAGAGAGAGAGAGAGAGAGAAACAAAAAAATAAAAAAGACAACGAAAGAGAGACAGAGCGAGTGACCAAACCCCTCCTCCCCCCACCACCACCACCCCCGCCCCTCCTCACGAGAAACTCACAAGCCATCGAAGAGGTCCTTGTACTCGCTGTTCTTCCTGAAGGCGTAGCCATACCAGAAGATGAAGTCCTTGTCCTTGTCGAGGGGCGTCGCGTAGAAGTGGCACTGGTCCTTCTCGCCCTTGCTGCGCCGGGCCTTGAAGTCCTCCTGGATCAGGTAGTCGAGGATTCGCATGTCGTCGATGTACACGTGCTCTGCAGAGGCGAAGGGGG